GCAGGCGAGAACAACCGCGGCCTCGACGGCCGACCGAGCCCGCGGCAGATCGACGGCAGCGCGGCAGCTTTTCGCCCCAAGACGCTCCCAGGACGCCCCGAGAGCCCCCCAAGAAGCCACAAGAGGCGCCCAGGAGGCGTCCCAAGAGGCCACCAGGAGGCCAAAATTATGGAATTCCTTGAGGAAATCGTGCATTTTAGCATACACGGTTTTTCGGCTTCCACGGCGTTGACGACGGCCCAAGAGGCCCCCAAGACGGCCCAAGAGGCTCCCAAGAGGCCCCCAAAACATGGAACGCCACCCAGGCGGTCGCGGCGCTGGAGTGCCCGCGCCTCCGATCTTCACCCCAGAGAGCTCCGAGCGGGACCTACTGCGTGCGCGGCCCTTGGGCCCCGCCCGCGTAACCCTCGGCTTCTGACGCTTCACTCCTCCTCCTCCTCCTCCTCCTCCTCCTCCTCCTCCTCCTCCTCCCCTCCTCCACCTCCTACTCCCACTCCTCCTCCTCCTCCTCCTCCTCCTCCTCCTCTCCTCCTCCTCCCCCCCCCTCCTCCTCCTCCTCCTCCTCCTCCTGCCCCCTCCTCCTCCTCCTCCTCCTTCTATTCCTCCTCCTCTTCCTCCTCCTCCTCTTTCTCCTCCTCCTCCTCCGAATGCGCGAACCACTTCTTACGCATGTCGTCCAGGGAGAGCTCACCACGGTCGGCCCCGAGAGCCCAGCCCCACTCGAGGTCCTCTGGAGGTGCAGGGCGAGGCCCATGCAGGTCATGCTCGAACGCCTTCAGCCTAACCTGCCTATTGATGACGGCCGCGTGGGAGAGGCCCTCTAGCTCCAAGAGCACGGGGCTGTGGGGGTACAACGGGGCGTCCACAAAGACCTTGAGGCTCTTGATCCTGGACGCCAAGCACTCCGCGACAACGAAGTAGTCCAAGACGCGCACACCTCCTCCTGGGACCTCGAACTCATCAGTGACCCCGCCATCTGAGGCCCCCCCAAGAACAGCCTGGGCCGCCAAATCGGCCTGTCGGGTCTTGGATACCAGGGGCCCAGCACACGTCGGGTCAGTCGGCGAAACGACCTCACCCCGAACCGTCTGTAGCCACCCTGACGCGAGCAAGTTGGACGGCAAAACATTGAAATCCCCTTGGGCTATCCAGGGCAGTGGCTGACTCAGGAGACACTCGCCCAGTGATTCAAGCAGGGTCAGGTTGGGCTCCGCCAGCTCGACGCCGGTGATGAAGTAGGCCAAGACAATCAGCAGCCCCTGCGGGAAGCCTACGCTCGCCTTCCTAATCACAAACCGACTCTTGCATCCACTCAGCTGGTCTGGCAACACATGCGCCGACCTGATGGCCTGCTGGGCCGCGACTGCAACCCCTGACGAGCTTCGCGTTGGTCCTGGCCCCGTGTTGTGGGCCATACCGCGCGCAACGTGCCACCCACGCCGAGAGCACCAGCGAGTTGCCGAGATAACCTTGTCAGGCGATTTCAGCAGAGCCCCCTGCGCACACAGACAATCAGGCACGTCATCGAGCCCTCCATGTTGCAAACCACGATCCGTAAGCCACTCCACAACTGTCTCTGCTGAACCCCACGCGTTGGAATTCATGCCGAGGATCGTGAGCGACTTCGCGTTGCCTCTGCTCTTGGGCTCAGCTGGGCCAGGCGGCCCATCGATGGTCACGACCGCCGAGTGGTCCTCGCCCTCGACGCCGAACTTGTCCAAACAGCTACCCATCGCCGCCATGTCCTGGAACTTGCATCTACGCTCCTGCACGACCGTGCCAGACATGTCGGCCGCCTCAATGTATGCCACGAGACGACTTTCAGCAGATCCCTGAGCCACGAGAGGGTCACATTCGTCTGCAGTAAAATTACGAGCAGGAGGTCCACACCCCCTCCTGTCGGATCTTGACCGAGCTATCTCCGAATCCGCATCTAGCGCAGCGCGGGGAGGAGGGAAAGCTGCCTCAGCAACTTCGTGACCTTGTGCGGACTGAATCCAGCAAACGCCCTGCCCGTCCTCCCCACGCGCTGGTGCCCCCGCCTCCTGTGGAAGGGGCGCCACTGGGGGAAGAGTAGGCAGGGGGCGACGTTGAACATGGGCACCTCAGAGGGTCCCAGGATTGGCGTTCTAGCGCCATCGAACACCCAGTCGACACAGGGGCCGGCGTAGAGCCAGTCGCCACCAAGGTCGCACCTGCCCCCAACCCAGAGGAATGCGCATCTCTGGCCAGTTGGGTACAGCCTGCACGAGCTCCGGCAGGGGCCCGAAGTCCACGCGGCGACCTCTGCGGCTCCGAAGGAGCCGCGAGTGCACCTCTCGACGCAGACGTCCCAGCTGACGACCCGATTCGGTTCGACGTTGCCCCCGGCCCAGGGGAGGAACATCCTTGGTCAGCTGGGGGAGCATTGGACGGCGCCCTCCTCGGCCCAGTCGACCCCGCGGCCAACCCGCTTGAGGGCCCTCGGGCCATGCGCCCAGCCCCAGGCGCAGGCCACTCCTCTGGGTCCAGTCTCGGCGCCCCTTCGCAGTCCAGCTGGCGGAACAGCGTCGGCTCGGAGGGCAGGTCATCTTTCGTGGCCTCTTCCCAGTCCGCGTCGATCACGTTGTGCTGGTGGAGCGGTGCTAGGTCGGCCATGCCAATGCTCCAGCCCACACCGTGGCTGAGGCCAGGCTGTCCCAAGCCATCGGGGTGAAGCCAAAAATATTATATCCTGATCATGCGTGCTGTAAAACCTCGCCATCCCTTGCACAAAATGCGATTTCCTGATC